GGTCACAGAACTAATCTGAACGTTGTGGAGAAGAAAAGATCTCTACCACTACTAGAAATTGAACCCAGATTCCCTGGTTGTCCATTTCGGAGTTTTGGTCACCGGCCTATCCCTGCTACTCTTCATAATATTCTATAACAATTCGTGGAAGAATCTTCTTTGTGGCATAGAAATCAATTAAGATATATAAACAAAAACAAAAAAACTCCATAACCTGTAGTCCGCAAGCGAACTATACTGACCGAGCGACCGCCGTTTGTCGGTGAAGTTAGTGCCAACTTTAGCGGATAGAGGGTGTCGCGTGGTCAGTACAACGGATCCCCACGGCAGTTAATCACGGTTTTCTAGACCAGAGCCGCTATTTCCTTGAGAAAGCTCCTCAGTTATCCTGACGAGGCTGAGTGAAGCCCGTTTCAGACTCACTACTTCTCAGAAAATCTGGTAGCGCCGGAAATCGAACCCGGACCTCTGGATATGTAGCCAGGAATTCTGACCACTAGACCACAGAGGCGGTCAGATAATATATAATAAGAATAAATAAGATACGAATACATTTAGTTCCAAATATATTATTATAGCTAATAAAGTAAAATATATCACCGAATCCTTCAGGGACTTCATCAGTCACTGTATTATGGGAATGAAACGGAAGGTAAGAAATAAATTACAAAAATGAACAGTATTTCCTTGTGTCCTGAGGGATGTCCCATCAATCAATCAGACAGAAATCGATAAAAGGTGACCGCGAGAGGGACTTAGCGAAGGACAGACGTTCCTAGACATTCATTCGATCAATCATGGTCCTACTAAGCCACACTTCTCTGTGGGAAGGGGAAGGGGAGGTGGTCCAGAGGAGCAGCAAGCTTGTCAGTTCCAATATATATCGAATCTTCGAAGCAGAGATGGAACGTCACAAGATGTCTGACTTAATATACAAATACAGATATGATCTAAAGAGTCCTCTCATACTTACTACAGACCGTATATTTGCATGAATTTCACAGTATTGCACAGATGGCGAAAAAAAAACCTTTCCGCCATCTTCAGGGCGTAAAATTGAGCAAATATGCTCTTCTAGAACACTGATACCCACATATGATACTTCATGATGTCGTGAGCTAGAACATAACATTATAAAATTTGCCCTCTATGTATGAACGAATGTGTCTTATGTAAAGCTTCACACATTCTTAATATCCTCACTAGATGGAGCTCAAATTCCGGGTTCCGGTCGCTTTGCTGTCGAAGCGCCCACCGAGAAACTTAGATCAAGTTCTAGGGTACTTCAGGAAGTGCTCGGTTGCAATACCGGTCGAGACACTGTGTGTCCTTAGTAAGGGTTTCGTGTTTTTCCCAGTTCCTATAGGAAAATTCAAGCGTACTTTAAGCCTCCCGCATAATTTCTAATTCATTATTGGCCAACATGCAGTATAGTATGAATTATTGCTAACATTGTTAAATAAACTGCAAACATATTGGTAATCTCTGATACCCAGTCGATTGGAATCTGCTTACGTCCTATGGCAGGACTGGGCTTGGCGACAGACAGACGGTTTTCCGCTTATAACAAGAATAAAATCCTAAAGTTCTAGATTATAACGAGTTCCAAAAGTGCTTCCAAAGTTGAGTCCAAATTTGTGTAGAAATAAGAAGAGAAAAAGTTGCAGAGAGATATTGTATTTTGTGCTCATTTTCTTTATTATCTTCGCAGTAAAGTGAACCTTATTGTTATAGAATATGTCTTATGTTAAGATGTAGAATCCGTCCATGTAGCGAACAAACATATTCCTATGTTCTGTGACGCACAGATATTAATGAATATTACATAGTACATTAATACAACGAGTCACGTAAAGTAAATTACTGTGATAAAGCCCAAGAGAGATGGAAAATCTCCATATTTTTAATCACGCAGTATATTGCATTCACCGGTGTATAAACCGAGTTTTTCTCTTAGCAGACTAAAAGATAATGGGTTGACAAATATTTCATGTGAGGAGTGAGTAGAGAATTTATGAGCATTTTTGCAATGGCTCTCTTCAGATCTATAAATATGTCAGGACACGTTCCGTTTTGATACACTACACGTAATATTTTGGTCTCGTGGCCAACACCGACACCACATCCTGCCACAGGAATTTAGCAGCGGAACTCATGCACGAGCAGTGTGATCTTCATGAGTGTACCCTTAAGTCGGTGAGATTTCGTGCTTGAGCTGAGAGAAAACATTTTATAACATTCACATAGAATATTTATATTACAATTTCGTCAACAATGTAACCACTTTAGTCTTTGGAATTTTCACGTTTTTCAAAATGTTTCGGCCCCAACCGGCCATCATCAGTTATTTCAATTCGCACAAATTGTTACCACATGTAACTGCATTATTCCATAATTATGTTCCGGTTACGATCCAGCAAACATTAGTCAATCCACCATACACTGGGAGGGGACCACACACATCTGTTTAGTCTACGCGTTGACTGTGAGCCGGTCCACAGCTTGGAAAGAATATTTAAGGGGCCCAAGGAATACAAAATACGGTATACAATTATAAAAGTACTCTCACTTCCACATATGCAACACAATTCTCTAGTGTATTTCCATATATATATATATATATATATAAGCAGTGTAACTGTGTGGTGAGAGCCTTAAACCTCGCAGGTTTTACTACAGCAACTAATTGTCTAATTTTAATAGGGTTAGTGAACAAATGTTATGTAGAGGATCACGAACGAGCGTGCAATCTTTGTTTCAGTGCATCATGTCTATTCTATGGGTACTGATAATACTTTGATATGGATATGCGAAGTGCTGTCTACTATTGACTGATTGTGTGTGTGCAGTTTGCAGGATATGGCGTTTAAACTCCGGTCTGTATATCATTCGATAACATGTACGCTGGAAAGGAACACGAGAGAAAACAATGGAAGTTAATAGTACAGAAGCGTACGTAACAAATGATAGGTCTTACCGTTGAATTCTCAGTTGATGTTACGTTTGTGTTAAACTAATAACCACGTATATTTCCATCATCTATTTTTCAGCATTAAAGTTAAAAGATCGTGGATCCACGCAGCGAATATGTTGTAATGGCGTGGTGCTCTGCCATAGGAGCAACTTGTAACCTCTTTCAGAGCAAAAGCCAAAGACATAGTACAAGATATTCACTTTGAATAAGAGTTTCTGAAGGAAGGAAGTTTACAAGTTCGAAAACATCTTTGGAAAACTTTCTTTTCCTTCGCTCAATCCATTTCATTATTTTCCTTCACTATCTCTAGCACTTTTCCATTTAAACTCTTCTACCATTACCATCATTCTCTTTTCTTTTCTTTCTGTTGTTGTGGCCTATTTCCATCTAACTTTTTCATTCGGCATAGTTAATCTCGTACATCCCCTTTGAAATGTCACCCCTGTCGATTTCATTGTACACTTACTAAAATCAGTGGAAAGCGTTTCTTAATGTTACACCACAAACAGTCCTATATACGCGTGTATCAGTCTGTTGAAAGAAGCATCAACATGGCACAAATAAGATATATGAATGGAATTGAAGGAGCAATTCTGGAAGATGGAGAGTGAATTTTATATATGACATGCTTTTAAGGTTAATAAAATGGCAGATAATATCAAGTTTTATGAGAATAAATTGAGAAATCACGTCCTTTGGATGCCATGATAGAGCCTACCAAGTGGATACACATACTGGAAGAAAGTGGAGAATTGGGAAAGAACCTTGCGAGTTGCAAAAGGATCTATTTGCTTTCTTGCGGAACGTTCAAGATGGATCAGTGCTTTTCAAGGTCATGTAAGAAGATATGTGGCTTTATTTCGCATATGTTAAATACGTCTCCTATATATGACAGTCTAATTTGTACTACACGTTTTATTTACTATTTGTAACATTTTTATTTATTATCTGCAAAAATTTTACAAACCAACGTCAAAATCATCATGTATTTTATACAGGATCTGAGATATTGATACTGTTGGCTATGAAGGTTATATCCCAGAAAACAAAACTGCCCCTTCTGTATTTCGTCTGTAGCCACAATAAGGTTATTTTTTTTCTCCCTCTTTCATGTGCCTGGTATAAATTTTGATTTACAATGTCAGGTCATGCTGCAGTAGGGTTAAGGCGCTGGCTGTACAATATATTACAATTCCCACGCGTTGCAGTGTTGGTGATTCCCAGAGTCGTGAGACAGTAAAATATGATAAGGAGTATCGCTGGACTAAGAACCAAGAATGACTGTGCTGGCGAGGACTAGAAGAAATTTATCCAACCCACCGATCGAAATTGGTTTACAGAGGCATTAAAAATGTCTGGCAAGCCGAAACCCGTCTGATAGGAAATTTATAAAGAAATTGTTGTGATGTAAGATTTGAGGTTTTCACGGCTGTGACTATGAAGAATGCCGTCTTCTGGGATGTGTAGATCTTGTGTGGACCGACGTTTCAGAGGAACGTGGGTTCAGAGTTTGCTCACGCTGGTTCCTCGCTCGCGGATTTTTCTACCCTGAAGATGGAGTCGATACTTTCCTCCGAAATGTCAGTTCACACAAGATCTACACGGCGCCACATCCCAGAAGATGGTATTCTTCAAACTGTTGTGATATTTGTAAGTGGTCAGTTTCAGGAAATAACCCGGTAGAATACTGTACAAATCAGTCCATATTCCATAACCTTCTGGATGTTTGGATCAAATGAACGGATCTATTGTTCATTACGTTATATGATTTAATAGAAATCATTTCTACCGATGTACTATTCACATTTATATCAAAGGCACTATCCAGTACAGCCACTCTTTAATTAATTATTAAGTGTATCATAATACCAGACAGGGCAGCTTAACAACACCAAAATACACAGACTTGTACCAAAGGGCGCTGAACATAAGAAAAGATGCCCCTTTCCAAGAATCGACCCCCAGTTCCTCTTTCACCTATCCTGCACCCTAGTCACTATACTGACTGAGCTGTATGTGTTGACAGATGCGCATCGGGCTGCACACGGGGACGGTGCTGGCAGGTGTAGTGGGCAAGAAGATGCCGCGCTACTGTCTCTTCGGGCACAACGTCACTATAGCGAACAAATTTGAATCAGGAAGCGAACCACTCAAGACCAACGTCAGTCCCACAACGTACCAGTAAGTAACATCAGGAGTGTAGGTTTGGTTTTGGGCCGTAGTAGCAGCATTTTTCGGCCGATATTTCACGCTATCTTCAGGGCAAATGAGGCAAAAGTAATATGTAGCCGAGTATATATGTTGCGTAATAGAACTGAGGGTGTGGGGGTGGATTGTGTTCCACTAATTTGTGTTGCCCAATTAATAGTGTTGAGGTATGTAAATTGAAAGAGTGCAGATGGGGAGGATAGTGAAATTTGCATAATGAGGAGTGCTATGTTTTGCCTTCTTTCTCTTTGCTGGTGCTACAACCCCGTGTGGGTATTCGCCTCTTCCATGGTCCTTCTCCAAGGCTCTGGAGGCTTGATAACAGTAGATTTTTCTGGGATTGGGTTCTTAGCCCCACGCCCAACACCCAACATGGAGGATCATGGACTACACTTCGTCTGGCCTCTACCTTTTAGCCTGTCTCACATGAGTGGCTCTACCAGGAGTTTACGCTTCAACCAGCATAGCTCTCCAAGTCATGGGGAGTGCAGATTTCCTCTCCACAATAAGGCGGTAGTCCTTGAAGAGGTTATAGATTGTAACCCTCACAAATTATTATCAGAGTGATGAAATGAAAGGAGATGAGATGAGCGACATACTTGTACAACGATTAGAAGCTGATACAAAACTGTAGAAGGAAAACCACGTGACACACTTATAACCTTAAATAAGTAGAGTGTAACTTTGTGAGCTAGATTTATTTGGCTCAGGATAGGGACAAGTGGTGGGCTCTGGTGAATGTGTTAATGAGGGTTTGGGTTCTGTAAAAGGGAAGAAATTTCTTGACCAACTGATCAACTTTTCAATAGTATACAGAGGAGTATACATACTTACATACTCGCTTACTTAAGAAGCTGAGCCCTTCTTGATGAGCCACCAAATCTGCAGCTACTCAAGAATTTCCCAGCATTTTATGGAACCCGAAGGTTCATCACCATGTGCACAAGAGCCCTCCACTGGTCCCTATCCTGAGCCAGATCAATCCAATCAATATCATCCCATCCTATCTCTCTAAGATCCATTTTAATATTGTCCACCCACCTACACCTTGGTTTTCCCAGTGTTCTCTTTCCTTCAGGCTTTCCCTCCCCACCTCATCCTCCTTGACTTGAACATTCTAATTATAATTGGAGAAGAGTACAAGCTATGAAACTCCTCATTATGCAGCTTTCTCCAACCTCCTGTCACTTCATCTCTCTTCAGTCCAAATATTCTCCTCAACAGCCTCAGTAGGAGGATACATAGGAAAAAGTTATTGTCCGGAAGCTTCCACACATGTGACACAGTTCTTCAGCTCATTCATAACAATTTACTGTTTTGTATGTTTAATCAGTTTAAAGTATCTTCCTTCTGTCAATGTATTGAGGCCCAGTGGGTGAGAAACAATATCCTACAAATGTTGGACCATATCTTTTGGCGCTGTATGACCTATATAACTCAGGAAGATTTCCTAATTTGAGAAAGGCAAATCTGTTCTTGTGCTTAATTAATTAAGCACCACCCCATGACGACATATGGCAGAGTTCCACCAATCTTGAACTCAGCACTAGATGGAGGTCAATGGTCAGCTTAATGCCCCTGAGGCTTTACTTCTGGGGAAGGAGCCTCCAGTACCCATTTGATAGGAGGCTGGATAGGCCCCAGAGCCGGTCTGGACCCTGCAGAGGTGAGAAAAATCTTCCCTGTGCAGAGAACCAAACCCTGACCATCAAAGCCCATAGCCTGTCACTATACCGATTGAGATACCGCAGCTGTGATCTAGTTGGGACCTTTAGGTAAATTTACTGATTGTGATCAAGTGGATGTCTTTCAAATACTCTCACTTTATATGTAGATACAAGTTTCACCTTGGGGTACAGTCATGTTTACTAGGCTCACCCATTTGTGAAAATGGCTATTCTCTCTGCCATGGACCCTGAAGTTGGACATTTGAATTGGAAGTGAATATTTCTGTGGTGAAATAAACTGTATCCTTTAAAATATATGTTGTTATTATGCTTTTTATTTGTCCAGATGCTTGCTGAAGACTCCTGGTTTTTTCTTTGCCCCGCGTCCAAGAGAATGTCTGCCTGTGGGATTTCCTGCGCACATTCCAGGCACCTGCCACTTCCTACTGGGTTATCGGCATCCAGAAATCCCTGCAGAGTGTGATTCTCTCTCCAGACATGTGGAGGCCGGAGTACAGGACCTTGGAATCTTCTCTGCTCAGCAATCTTAAACAGACTAATCTAGAAACCTGACAGCCACCATTCTTTGCTTTTCTGATACGTTTCGAGTGGAATTAATCTTCAGCTGTAACTCCTAACGTTTATTCTTGACAGGGACTTATATACTATGTGACAGTCTTTAAATCACTCAAACTCTGTTGTAACTTGTGTTTTGCATTCCAATGTAAGAAAAATATGGCCTGAATCTTTACAGTATTTATTTATATATTTATTGTTTATTTAATGGTGCTGTCAGCAGCCGACACTGTGTAGTTTCGATCTGTGGTACTGAAGATTGTTTTCAGCTTGACAACATGAGTTTATGCCTTCCAAATTTTAGGACCTAAATTGTTGTCTTATATTTTCACAGTGTAAATATGACTTTCTCTATGTGATCTTTGCTATTAAGTGGCTCACACTCTGAAACCCATGGTTCAATACTACTACAGAAATATTACTAATAGACAGTTGAAAATTTAATGCAGTTTCTGTATAATTCTGTGTAATCTAACTGACTCATCTAATGTCATGTCACAAATTGTGCAAACAATCAGCTGTCAGTATTAAGATTACTATCTTTTGTGACATAATGCCTTTTATTCTGCTTAATATTTACTGATGTTTTGGATGATTATGTTGCTTCCATCTTCAGAGAAGGAGAGTAAGTGTAGCGTGGGAAAGTAGTACAGGTATGTGGAGAAGTAGCACTGCAACTGAAACCCTAATCATTCAGCAGGAGTAAGGATAATTGCGAAATAATCTGATGTCCTTAAAAGAGTTGTTTTCAAGAAGTAGAGAGATATAATGACTCTGAGGGAGTCACTTGAAGGTAAAGGAGAGTCAGGAGAGAGTAAGGAAACAAATGGTCTTGAAGGGCCTATTTTGAGGTTAGAGTGGATGTGGAGAATAAACAAGACAATAACAAAAGCTGATGGTAGACTAGTAGGGAGAAAAGAAGAAATGGAAGACAAATTAATAAGTTGGTTGAAAGGATGGAGGTCCCTACAGGATGCCTGTATCCGCAATATGGAAGTATCTCTACTCTGGATCAAGTTTTGGTTTTCCCTTCCAATGCCTATACAAGTTTCCCACACTCAGCTTTATCTGCTACTCTGAAGGTGGATCAACACATTGTTCTGAAACGTCTGTAAATATCAACCAAACTACACAGTGTCACTGCTGTGGGAACATCGAATCTCACACAGCTGTAGTATTGAGAGTGAAGAAATACTTTAAAGCATGACATTGCAAACTGTGGAGAACATCGAACATTTATGGAACATAAACTAAACACTGTTTTGATTTCTGTTGTACTGAAAGCTGGACAAGGTGAAAAAAGCTGAAGGAATTTAAATGTGAGAGGTAACTGAAATCACTTGATATGGCGCCCACTAATTTGTATTAGAGATGTATAAAACATAAGGATAACATATGAGTATTTATATATTTTTTTTCTGTATTTCATTTAACCCTTTGATCACTGTGCCCAGTAAATATTTTTTTTTTCTTGGCACTACAGCCCCAGTGGGCCTAGGCCTTCCTCCATGAACTTCTCCGTTCACTTCAGTTTTCTAGATCTTATACATTCGGTAGGACTCCTTGGGCAGGTGATCAGCTTGTCACAAGGCCTCCACCTGCACACAAACACAGGAAAACACACATACACACACACAAATTAAACATCCATGCCCTGAGTGCGATTTGAACCCACGATCCCGGTTTCCAAGCGAGCGAAGACAGTACATGCCTTAGACCGCTCGGCTGCCGTGACCGGCACCCAGTAAATATACATTTAGTATATTTCTCTTTAGTTTTCTTGTGATACATGTGGACTGTAATGGAATGTACACATTCTTAACTTTTTATTTATATTTATATATACTAAACTATCTTTACAGTAAAACAAATCACCAGGATAGAATAAAATTTTTATTTCTAAGAATGTCACCTCTGTACAAATCACAACAGCAAAATTTCACTCTTGGTATTTTTGCAAAAATTTCCCAACTTTTATAAGCACTGTGGCAATGTACATACATTTTTACAATGGTGCAGTGATTGAGTTTCATTTTTCTAAAGCAAATTCACCATAAAAGGGTATGCATACAATTAAAGCACTCAATGGTCAAAGGGTTAAATTTTCCCTTCAGAAGCAGCACTAACACCTTCTGTGCTGGTGTAAGCCCATTCCTCTCCAGTTTCTAGATCCAAAAGAATTATCTTTAATCATTTTTCAGGGTTCCGAGCAAAGTGTGGCTGCCTGGTGAGAACGGCTTTCACAGTTGGTGAGAAAGAAGAAGGGAAACAACAAATTTCCACCCAAGCAGTAATGATAATAATAACAGTAACTTCAACAGCAACAATGACAGTGAATTGCTTGGTACTAGGCCTCAAATGGGATTCTATTTTAACCAGTGATAACAAAAACGATGATTTGGAGGGGAACATTGAAGTGCTTTGAGAAATACCTGTTACACTGCCTCATTGCTCAACATGGATTCCAAAGATCCCTGGGATTAATACCAGAATTCAGAAATGAATATAAAATACCAGCAATCTTGAAGCCAAGTAAAAAGCAGATGCGTTTTTTCCATTTTCAATAATAGTAGCTTGTAAACCCAACATGACACCACCCTAATTAAAATAATTGTCGGGACTCCAATCTCCATGACGCTACCCATAAATAACACCATGATATCATGACACCACACCAACATGGCGCCATACTTGCAACACGCCACTCCATGCAAACCCACTTGATTCAAACAAAATAGACATCAACCCACTCTACACAAAATCAGTCGTCACTATCCTAGTGGGTGAGCATAGTAGGAATCTAGCCTATCATACCTTACCCCAATATTACCCTTGAGCAAGCCTAATCTAGCCTACCCTAGCTTAAGTCATGCCTAGCAGGCTATATGATATAAAATATCTTCCTAGATTCTATATATGAATTTTGTTCATAGATTTTATGTGGAAGCCTTATGTGCAGGTCCTCTTTTGAATCTTAAAACTGGAGCAACTATCTGGAAACTCTTTAGATACTCCATATGTAAATCCTCTTGAAGTTCTCTCTGGGCATCCCATAATGAAGCTCTGTGTTCACTCAATTTAAAGTCATATATATTGTAAAGGAATTCAGAAGGAGACCGGTGTGTGAGTAGTGATTCACCGTTAATCATTCGTCACATTGGAAGAGAAGACGCTTGTGGTACAGTAAAGAATGGAGCGATTTGTAGACAGCCACTGATTGTGAGCTATCATAATTCACTGTAACTGTAAAGAAGCGTCAACAGACCCAATCATCTAATCCAGAATCCAGTAGTGCCATTTCTTCCCCTCCTTGGTGTCTCCACCTTATCGTGGCGAGGGGGGTTTGAGTATGCCAAGGACCCTGAGAGCTATACCAGCGGTAGCGTAGCTACTGGCAGGGCCTCCCTTGCTGGACAGGTCAAAGGGTAGGCATCAGACGAAGAGAGACACCAAAAACCAAAAACTGATGCCGGAAGCAGCGTCATCAGCAGCGACTTGAAGCACAGAGCAAATGATGCTCGAGATGGTTCAAGTTCGTATAGCAACAGGCGTGACCAGAGTGGTTTGAACGGCTGTTGTACTGCGATGTGGAAAGCAAATGGAAAAAATACCACATTATCACTTTTCCTGGATAGTCTCTTTCCAAAAACAGAAGATCGCATCAAGTGGAGAAACTGTTTTGGAAGAGACTGTGGACCTGTCGTCTGACAGATTACTGATGATGATGATGATATTGTAAAGGTCTGTAGCATTTAATTTGGTATGTACTGAATGATTTCTTTACTGAAATAATGTCTGTAAGCCCTATGTGAATATCCCTTTAGGACTCAATTTAGAGACCTATAAGGTGGGAATATCTGGTGGTGCTTATCTATAGTGTCTGTATGGAGATCATCTTGAAAATTGCATGGAGTTTGCATATACAGGTTTGCACTTGTTTCCTCTTTTCTATCTCTCCATTGAGGCTAAATTTTGGGATGTGTTGACTATATTTGGAATCTCAAGACTGGGCATTGAATGGAGTCACTACCTACATGGGAATCATATGTATCTCTCTTCTAAGACACCATTCACTAGGATCTGCAGGCGTTTGTATATAGACGATGATTTGAAACAGATAACTGACCTCCCCACCATCTCTCGCTCTCTCTCGGTGTGCGTGGGAGTATGCGCGCATATGTGTGTGAGGGGTAATAATTTTTGGAAAGCTCGAAGACATATGCTTATATCATGTCTATATCTGGCTCTTCCACGTGAAGACTATAAATGGAAGCTATGTGTAGAGCTATTCATTCTATCAGGGCATCCCTTTGAGGATGTCCATGTATAATCTCTCTTTTTTTAGTCTTACTTGGATGGTGTAGGCAATGCACTGTAACGCCATCTGTTGAACATTACAACATCTGTTCAACAGATGGCGCTGCAGTTTTATTTCACATTTTCTTATCTCTCGTTGATTTAGCATGGTCTCAAATTATTAACTTTCTGCATGACCCCAAGAGCGGTCTTGTGATACGATCCCACGGTTCGCCATCTGTGGACTAATGTTCAACGGATGGTGCTTTTTAATATTTCATATAGATATGAATACTATGGGAGCGGTCCCATGTTTCGCCATCCGTGGAGTAATGTTCAACAGATGTCACTACTTTTTCATTTCATATGAATATGAATATTATGGAAGCGTGGGACTCCACTCTTCCGCCCTTGGGGTCACGCAGAAAGTTAATATACTTAAGTTAAGATAGTAAGACGCAACATTTTAACTACACTTTGTCGTTTTCCATGAGGTTCAAGTCCACAGATGGCGCTACAGTTTTAAACATTTCACGAAGTGAAGCCTGAGACACTCGCCTAAGCGAGTTTCATTAAAATCCACGTGGGATCAAAAAGAAACCAAATTTGGCCCTCCTCCGCCCTCCAACCATCCGCCCTTAGGTGGGTGACTTGAACTTATTCATTTGACACAAAGTTCTATCAGCGAGAGCTAACAATGAAATATAACTTAGCGCCATCTGTGGACTAGAACCTCTATTCAAAGTCTCGAAGTGAAGCCTGAGACACTCGCCTAAGCGAGTTTCATTAAAATCCACGTGGGATCAAAAAGAAACCAAATTTGGCCCTCCTCCGCCCTCCAACCATCCGCCCTTAGGTGGGTGACTTGAACTTATTCATTTGACACAAAGTTCTATCAGCGAGAGCTAACAATGAAATATAACTTAGCGCCATCTGTGGACTAGAACCTCTATTCAAAGTCTCGAAGTGAAGCCTGAGACACTCGCCTAAGCGAGTTTCATTAAAATCCACGTGGGATCAAAAAGAAACCAAATTTGGCCCTCCTCCGCCCTCCAACCATCCGCCCTTAGGTGGGTGACTTGAACTTATTCATTTGACACAAAGTTCTATCAGCGAGAGCTAACAATGAAATATAACTTAGCGCCATCTGTGGACTAGAACCTCTATTCAAAGTCTCGAAGTGAAGCCTGAGACACTCGCCTAAGCGAGTTTCATTAAAATCCACGTGGGATCAAAAAGAAACCAAATTTGGCCCTCCTCCGCCCTCCAACCATCCGCCCTTAGGTGGGTGACTTGAACTTATTCATTTGACACAAAGTTCTATCAGCGAGAGCTAACAATGAAATATAACTTAGCGCCATCTGTGGACTAGAACCTCTATTCAAAGTCTCGAAGTGAAGCCTGAGACACTCGCCTAAGCGAGTTTCATTAAAATCCACGTGGGATCAAAAAGAAACCAAATTTGGCCCTCCTCCGCCCTCCAACCATCCGCCCTTAGGTGGGTGACTTGAACTTATTCATTTGACACAAAGTTCTATCAGCGAGAGCTAACAATGAAATATAACTTAGCGCCATCTGTGGACTAGAACCTCTATTCAAAGTCTCGAAGTGAAGCCTGAGACACTCGCCTAAGCGAGTTTCATTAAAATCCACGTGGGATCAAAAAGAAACCAAATTTGGCCCTCCTCCGCCCTCCAACCATCCGCCCTTAGGTGGGTGACTTGAACTTATTCATTTGACACAAAGTTCTATCAGCGAGAGCTAACAATGAAATATAACTTAGCGCCATCTGTGGACTAGAACCTCTATTCAAAGTCTCGAAGTGAAGCCTGAGACACTCGCCTAAGCGAGTTTCATTAAAATCCACGTGGGATCAAAAAGAAACCAAATTTGGCCCACCTCCAACCACCTGCCCTTAGGGGGTGACTTGAACTTATTCATTTGACACCAAGTTCTATCAGCGAGAGCTAACAATGAAATATAACTTAGCGCCATCTGTGGACTAGAACCTCTATTCAAAGTCTCGAAGTGAAGCCTGAGACACTCGCCTAAGCGAGTTTCATTAAAATCCACGTGGGATCAAAAAGAAACCAAATTTGGCCCACCTCCAACCACCTG